GGCTAACCATTCGGGATATTTCACCTCCCGAATGGACCCTACTTTGAGAAGCTTGGTTACCTCGTCCTTTATGAATGCGTGCTTTCTATCGGACTGGGGTCTTCTCTTTTGCTTCACCGGTCTGAACCTGGGGTCTAAACTTAGCTGATGTGTCGTTATGTCCGGAGGGATCCCTGTTATATCTAAATGGGACCAGGAAAAACAATCGATGTTATCGATAAGAAATTGAATGAGTTTCTTCCTGAGTTGAGGGCTCAACCCCGTTCCCATGTATACCTTTCGCTCGGGCCGGTGCTCGATTAATATGACTTGCTCTAGCTCCTCGATCGTCGATTTTGTGGCGTCGGAGTCATCGGGAATCACGAAAGATCGAGGGACCCTTTGATCACCATCCTCTTCGATTTTCTGGTTGTCTGGCTAGGTTGAAGCCGATGTCTGTGATTGCTATTTGGTGTCCCGTTCTCCTTCCGGGCCCGATCCTTTTATCGGCGAAAGTGAGGACACTGGTTTAGCTTCGTCGACGACGAACATTTCTTTCGCGGCTGGTTATTCTCCGTACACCATTTTGACACATCCCGACGTCGGGAATTTGAGGGCCTGGTGTAGGGACGAAGGCACAGCTCTCATGTTGTGGATCCATGGCCTTCCGAAAAGGGCGTTATATCTCATATCGCCTTCGATCACGTGAAACTTTGTTTCCTGGATGGTTACAGCCACGTTTATTGGTAGGACTATCTCACCTTTGGTGGTGTCGCATGCCATATTGAACCCGTTTAGGACCAGAGTTGCGGGTACAATCTGATCCTGTAGGCCGAGCTGCTCCACTACCTTCAATCGGATGATGTTGGCCGAGCTACCTGGATCGATTAACACACGCTTAATTTTAGTTTTATTCACGAGTATAGATATTATCAGTGTGTCGTTGTGAGGTTGGATGATCCCTTCTGTATCTTCATCATCAAAGGACAGAGTCCTAATGGGTGCGTAATCTTGAGTCCGAGATTGCTTTTCCCTCACCATCGATGTTTTAGTGTGTTTAAGCATTGGTCCCCGAGGGGTATCAATGCCGCCGATGATCATGTGGATGACGTGTTGCGGTTCTTCTTGCTCGTTTTGCTTGCTGAAATCCTTACTTCTAAAATGGCTCTTTGCCCTATCACTCAGAAACTCCCGAAGGTGCCCTTTGTTAAATAAGCGAGCTATTTCCTCTCTTAGTTGCTTGCAATCTTCNCGAAGGTGCCCTTTGTTAAATAAGCGAGCTATTTCATCTCTTAGTTGCTTGCAATCTTCCGTTCTGTGGCCATGGGTACTATGATATTTGCACGTTTGATTGGGATTTCTTCGGGCAAGATCAGTCTGCATTGGTTGAGGCCATTTAGCATCTTTGATGCGTCCGATGGCAGACACGAGAGCAGATGCACCAACGCTGAAGTTATATTCTGATAATCGAGGTGCTTCTATAGGATCGGCATATTTATCGAAGCCGCTCTTACTCATAAGCCCCTGAGAATTTTGTCCTCGATAAATCCTTCGATTGTTCCGAACTGCGTTGCGTGCTGAACCGTTGTTCACCCGATCTGTGACGTATGGTCGATATCGATCTCTGTTCGACCTTTGTTCTCTGTCGATCTGCTTTTGATTAATAACTGTCCTGTTCTGATGAACGGGTCCGTACGGGGCTCCCGACTGATCATCCTCGACCCTAATTTTTGATTGATATCGGTTGTGCACATCTGCTCAAGTTACTGCTGGATACTCGATCAAATTTTGTTTCAGCCGATGTGATGATGTCGAACTTAGCTCGTTCAACCCTTGGGTGAAGGCTTGTA